CCTTGTGTTGCTTTTGTGGGAGCTCAAATAATCAATGATCAATAACCCCTCACCGAGCCATCCCAACCTGCCTTCCCCTTGCTCATTGTATAGACTGGGTTGAGATTGGAGTGCCAAAACAAGGGCAGAGTGAACCGCCTTGGAAGCAGGGCTTAAAAATTCAGCAGTTCGCGAGTATCTCCAGCTTTGAGGGTCGTCCCTACTCCACCCACCCATTTGTAGGCGTGGCATTTTTGCCATTTCTCACAGTTGATCAGAGGTGTTCACCTCCCCCTCCGTTCAACGGATGACAGGGGGAGGTTGGTATTGAAGAAAAGTTTTTCAAAAGAGATTAAAAGTTCGAAAGCAGCCCACATTTTTACTTCCCACGCTATGTTCTCGGAGGAAGCCCCATATACTGAACGAGGCCCGCTGGGCGCGGAACAAAGTTGTCTTTCCTACCCACTTTTTCTTTGGCTTTTTGAACATATCCTATTTCCTATCCTAGTGGGGTAACATTGTATAAACGGTAAAATTTGAGAAAAATAAGGATCTATGCACTAGAATTCTTCTATCTAAGAATTTCTGGTGAAGGTCAGCGTTTGAAATGATAGTTCAACCAGAGCCTGAGCCAAGTTAACCAAGTCTTTTTAAGGCTTTTCCTTCCTTGCACCCATACCGTCACCGTCTGCCGCATCCTAAATTGGGTACTTCTGTAAACTTATTGCAGATGCCAGTAGTGGTAATAGTGATAGCGATCTGTATCATCGTCGCCCTCCTTCTGGCTCTCATTCCAGCAGTAGTGATCCTTACAAGCGCCGTTGATAGCGAAGCTTTACGACAAGTCTCTGACGGTGTAGACATGCAGGTACGGCGACATTCATGTAGACAGAAATGAACCCGGATTCCAATGGGTATTTCAGATTATACGAGATTCACATATCTTCCCAAAACCTGACCCACTTGGTGACGAGGACGATATCCTGGATGGGTTACGTCGTGACGGTGTCAGTACCGTGCATGGTATACCTTCTACAGCGCTCTTTCCACCGAATATTTCGCTGTGTGAAGGTTTTGGTTTCGCCTGTACAATTCAGCCGGTGAGTGAAAGAAACTTGTCTAAGGTCATAGAGGAGGGGGGAGGGCAGCTTCGACCATTCAGAAGTTGGGATGATGCACGGGTTTAGGTATAGTAATGAATTCCATTGTAAGTGACAGTTGTCTTTTGTCTCAGACACCGGTTAACAATCAGTTTATCTGAGATGAAAGCCGTATTAGGTACATCGCTGTGACATACATTATAAATTTCTTTCCGAAGTTTCAGTTTACTTTTAGTTTTAGTTCAGGTGGAAAAGGAGATTCAAATGAAACAGTCAACGTTGTTGTTAATTTCCAGAGCATGGTGATCAGCACAGCGTTGCGCTGCGACGGAAAGAGTGATTGCCCGGATGGGTCGGACGAATTGAATTGTAGAGGTAAGGTCAAGTTAACAATCTAACTCAGTTACTCCTTCTATAAACACTCTTCTACAGAGTGCCAGTCCGCATTCTCGTGCTCCATCTCAACCAAATCCAAAGTGAAGGTGTGCCTTCGTGCCGAGCAGCTTTGCGATGGCATCACTCATTGCCCTGATGAGGATGACGAACAGAAATACTGCAGTAAGCTCCGAAAGTAAAGGGATTGTTGAATGCTGTGAGTCCGTGGTTTATAGAGAGCGAATGTGATGACGATGAGTTGAGATGTCCTTCAACTTCCCTTTGTCTTCCACCGACGTCAGTTTGCGACGGAATCGTTGACTGCGACACAGAAGACGACGAGAACAACTGCAAAAAGTGCAAACGTGGAGCAATGGTAGGATTTGCTTCTTGTTCAGCGAGCCTATGATTTATTTATCAATCACGAAAAATTGTGGTAGTGCTGCCACTCGTATGGCTGGTGGTGCTGGCAGCCGTATGGCAACGCAAGGGTGCTCCGAGTTGAAGGGGTACAGCGGCAGAGACAAGGATACTCCCGCTCGCTAGGACAGCTTGAGCATTCAGTGATTATTTGCCTTATTTGTACACGCCGTCGGTGACTGTTCGGTGGGCGGTGCCCGGACGGAGAAGGTGTCAACGGTGCAGTCCTGGGGTTCATCAACTTCTATGGCCGTGAGCTCTCTCTTCCCGCCTCCTGGCGATGAGCAAGGTAGCAAGAATAGGTGCGCTTCCACGATATCGCCCCCAAGTCCACCAACCCGGTTGCCACCGGCGGTTTCTTGAAGAGAAGTAGTTTAGACAAATGTGGTTTCCATCCCTTCGCTTGGCAGGTCAACCCCCCCCCCCACCTGGATGAGAATTTCGGTACGACCTCTCCCTCTTCCTCAACACCTATCTACCAATTTCCCACGTTTTCCGGTTTTTTCCACCCAGAAAGTTTCCATCGAGCGGGGGCGGGGAGCATAAATATCATATGAGAACGGGAGAATTTCTCAGATTTTCCCTGAATTCCTACCACTTTTTCCATTTCAGGATTTACCGAAGGTTTTCCTACTTTCCCCCAAGAATTTTGCTGTCGAGCGGAGGGGGGAGAGGTAAATGAAACAGGAAAAATCCTGAAAAGTCAACAACCGGGAAAAAATTTTTCCCAACGCAGCAAATTTCTCTTGAAGCCACATACGACCCCCCCTCTCCCAACAACGACCGAATACGACCCCCCTCCCCAGCGGAAAATTACGACCCCCTCCCCAGCGGAAAAGTACGACCCCGTGTGTTTCGTACAATGATGCTGTACCCTGGCAGCACACTGCTTTTTTGCACGCACAACAGAACCTGAGCGCTTCAGCACCAACACTATTACATTCTATTATTAGGTTGTCCGGAAAGTTCTGCAGGTTTTGTGTTACTATTTTTTGCACATTCATTGCTAAAAACTCATTCTCCCTTGCGTCTCAGTAGTACATCCTGAAGAGAATTCTTTGCGCTATCTGATGGTATAATTGCCGTTTCACCATTGCTTGATGAACCCCCTTTTTGAGATTTTTTTCAAGCATGTGAAAAGAGCAATTCGGACAATTTATGGATAATGATTTGTGAAAATGTGGGCGGGCGTTGTCATGCAAAAGAATCGGACCCTTTCTTTTGATAAG